TTGCGTGAATACACGCTTTGGGCCATTTGGTGGCGCCCACTGGTTTAGGCCAGGCCTCTCTCACCGGCATAGGCTTTTTGAACCTCAAGTCACCGACTGGTGGCTCGGCGTATGGTATGCCTAAAAACGCGTTTATTTTGACGCCATATAACTGGTCCGCAAAACCGGTGATCAGACCGTTGGTCACTCTAACGCTGACGATTGTGTTGGCATTTTTCGTTTCGCATTTAATTACTGCCTTTGATAATAAAACCAAAAACAAACACTTAATTGTAATTTGTATCAACATTATTTAAGGATTAAATAAAATGTATAACTTAAAAATTTATAAATTATAACATGCTTTCTGTTTTTTATATTTTGTAATAGAATGCTATTAATTATTTTTGCAATTAAAAAATACCGTATGTTTTGCGCTATTTGTAGACATCGTAAACATATTATTAATAATAATTTATACATTATACACAATATATAAAGTGACAATTTTATAATTAGACAAAAGTTGTGAAATATAAGTCGGGGTTGGGTTGAGGGACCCAACATTTAAACGTATTTTAATCAAACCTTTCCCTATTGAGAAGGACAAATTGAACATTAAAACACAAACATTAAAATATAATTTAATTGAACACAAATTTGCACCTAGGGAATATTGTGTAATGTTGTGCTTTCCATAAAATGATTTGTGTTAACAAAATTAATTAGAAGTTTGCTTAATAAAACAAAACAATAATATTATTATTAATATTAAACGAGAAAAGTTATGTTCATTATTTTTTTTAATGAGATATAAATGAAATTAAAAATCGTCATGACAGCTAATTTAACAGTAATCAACAAAACATCAACATAATTACTTTATTAAGAATGAGTTAAATTTATTAAACAATTTTTGTTTTAACTTGGACAACGTTGATCATACATCTAGATTCTAGAATATTTAGACAGTCTTTGTTCATATCGGCATTAAAATAGTTATTGTGAACATTCTACTTATTCTACCTACAATTTATTATATTAAATGTAGTAATTTATATTTAAGAGTAATTAAAATAAATTAAACACTCTTGTTTGTGTAAATTTACTGAAAAATTTATATTTCTATGTACATTTATATTATAACTTATAAATAAAAAACAATATAAAGGTATATATGTATACATCAATTTGTTGACTATTAGTTTTAGCATCACTTCAATCACTGTAAATATTTAAACCAAAGGGAATCGCATTCAACGGACTTTACATTTAAACCAAAATTAGTGTTAACTTTGGGCTCAACAGTGAACTCATAATACGGAGCAATAACTGTATTGTCGTTAACCGTATAATACGGCCGCCAATCAGCGCCCGATTGTTTTGGCGGCTGTCCATTGCGTGCAAACCCCGTAAACACATCAATCATTTGGGCCGATATTTGGCGTTCCCGGCGGTCATATCTGTCGTACTCTTGAAACGGTAGACCAAACACGGGATAGATATCATCGAAATGACAGACACCCATCCAATCAGAGCAAAACAACTGATGTCCGGCCGTAGACTTGGCGTTATAGTAGTACTCGTATACACGACTCTTCGGGTGCCCGGAGTGTATATATCGGGCAAACAGTTTTGTTGGACACGTGAGCCAAAGGTCACCCACCAGTCGGCCAACGGTCTGAATTAAAACTTCATGATTGGTCTCATTGGACAGACCGTTAAAGTATGTGTCGACCACTTGCTGAGAGCCAGTGGGAGGCAAGCGGTGAAAGCCTGTTAAGAAGCTGAGAGCATATTCATAGGCATCGTGGTAACTAATGGACAGTGGCTGCCACTTGTTAAACTTAATAGGGTCAATAAACCAGCTGAGAAACATACTACCCTCGTTGTCTACCGTACCGATCAGCACATCTATATCACGCTTATAGTCGCCCGACTTAAGCAATTCTATGGGATTGTTGGGTACAAACTCGCCGTCAATCATAAGATCTAGTTCACAGCGACTGAGCCCTAAACCCCTGGCCTTAAGTAGGTCTTCGGTGGACAGTCTGGCCATACACTCAATCATCTCCGGTGTAAACTCATGTGCTGTGCTATCGTCGCCGGCAGTGCCACAACCAAAAGCCACTGCCCTTTCATACCATACACTCTCGGCGTCGGTAGAGGTGCACAGGGTTTTAGAGGCGGCGCCCGACATAATAATAGCCCTTTGGAATAAGTGGCGAGTAATTGGGGACAAAATGTGGAGACTGGTCGATATGGCACCGGCCGACTCGCCAAACATTGTTATGCGCTTAGGATCGCCACCAAAATAGGCTATATTGTCGACCACCCACTCCAGCGCCAGCGACGAGTAATTGGGGACAAAATGTGGAGACTGGTCGATATGGCACCGGCCGACTCGCCAAACATTGTTATGCGCTTAGGATCGCCACCAAAATAGGCTATATTGTCGACCACCCACTCCAGCGCAAGTGCCTGATCCCATAGAGCCATATTGCCCGGAGCACCGCCCGGGTGTTTGGCACCCGTGTATAGTAAGCCAAATGTGGTGAGACGGTAGTTGAATGTGACCACCACTACATCGCCCATAGCCGACAGCACGTGTCCGGAGTACCACTTTTCAACGGCCGACCCGAACAACACTCC